CAATACATAATTGCCTGGCCTGCCAAGTAATCTTGGCTTCATTGTACATCAGCCTTTTTGACCACCAAATAATTTGGTCCATTCAGGTGAAACATGAAGAAAGATTTTCAGATGAAGGGTTTGTTTTAGCTTTTTCCTTGTGTTAAATTTAGGAATTAAGCTCTGCTTCTCAAGCTGATGGTGTTTCACAGTGGTGCTTTGAGCTGATTTCATTTGGGGTAAATTCTACAAAAACAAGCATTTTTCTTCACTGCCTTCAGAGATCTGAATTTGTGCACAGTAGTTGGCACTGCTTATACCTAGATGTATATCTGTTTGGCAAGAATAAAGACATGGTAAGTGACTGTGGACTGCAGTTATTTTTTATTCCATTATTTCTTCATTGTTGAACCAAACCTATTTCAGCAAAACTGGAAGACAAATCTCACATATCAAAGTTTTAAACAGTTGTCTGAATTTTGTTATCATTAATATTTAACTTCAGTTCAGTGGAGGAAAGAAAACTCAGCTGTTCATAGGTAGGTTGTCGAGCTAGAGTGACACACCATGAACAGCCACTCAAATGAGCACAACCACTGCCAGCTACTGTCACATGCAAGCAAGAGTTACAGCTCTTGGCAGCAGTAAGGCTACACAGCTGCCCTGTCTGTTGCCAGAGCTATGGACAGGGTGAAGTCAGGACATGTGCACATTCAGCAGAGACCAGCAAAACCTGAAAGCAATCAGATTATCACAGCCATAAAAACAAAAAGTTAAAAACGCTATTCTCCAACGATCGTGTGCAAGCCAAAGTGTCAGTCTTAAGCATATCTCTGTTTTGCCACACTAGGCAGAATTAAACGGCATTTTCAATGCAAAAGCTAAGATGTGTATCAGAATATGCCCAGTTGTCATCACTGGAGAAGGGCAGATTATCATCATCTTGGCACAGAGCCCGACTTAAGTGGAAATCTACAAAGCAAAGATCAAGTGATGAAAGAAAGTTCGAGATTTATGCCTTTTTGCGGTTTTCTATTCCCTCCAAAGCAGGATAAAGTTACATTTCTGTGGATGTTGTTGAGACGAACAGTTAGTTGTTTCTGTTGTTTGCTCATATGTCAATTATTTAACTGCAGGATTCCTGCTAGACCTCATTCTGCCACCCAAATCAATCCCCCTACCTACATCACAAAGGAGCTACACAACCACGCAATCCGTCTCGCAGAGAACAGGAAGAATGACGGGCTCATAACCGTATCACATATTCTAGCCAAAATCCACGAGAGATAATGCTATTTTGATTGAACATGTCACCATTCGATAACAAAACGATATGTCCAATGTGTCTCAGCACGTATTTCTCCTTCAGCACTTGAAGTTTCACAGTGACTTTATTACCTACAGTATACATAACGTTAAATACTGAAATGCAACAGAAATAAAATGAGACTTCATGGCTATTGTACCTTGAAGGTGAAAGGACAAATGAAAACTATTAAAAACTGTCAAGCAAAATTTTGGAACTGAAGAATTCTATTTTTTTCTGACTGGTGCTTTATCACATCAACCTTGAAGAGCCACACACAGGACTTTCTCACATTTCTCAACTTGTTGTCTGTCAGTTCACCTCTGTTCACGCAGAGGTGACATAAGTCAAATTCAGACTCAAAGCCCTGGGTAAAGAATTGCTTTCCATCTTAAACTCACCTCCACATACAGTAGTTTCCACTAATGTGGTCTGGTTCAGGCTCCACTGTTCATTCTAAGAAAATCTGCTAGGTGGCCTTTGTGGATTCTTAATAATTGTATCAGGTTGCCTTGCAGTCTTTCTCTGTTCAAAAACTAACAGGGCTTCTCCCGCCTGTCAGTGTAGGATGTTGTCTTTATCCCGGGAATGTATCACGTTGCTCTTCTCTGGACTGATTCCAGAGCAGCTACAAGGTGGGGACCGATATTCTAAATCTGGCCTCACCAATACGTGATACATTTACAACATAACATGCTTTGAATTTAAATTCTACATGTTTAACTATAACCTATGTAGCCTAAGATTTTATTTTAGAAACCTGATCCATGAACAACCTTCCTGCAAAATAAACATTACGTTGGAATGAATTGTTATTGTTACTGTTCACAGCAACACAATTAAGGGATGATGAATGATTTATAATTGGTTTTGGTTGGGAATTTAATAAGGATGGATTAAGATGGACAGAAGCTACAGCATGAGCTTAACAAAAAGGTCCTTTCACTTTGAGATCCAACTGTCACTCTGCTGTGGCCCCCAGTTAGACAACAACTGTGAAATGTATTGTGGCCCTTGGCCCCCACTCTCAGTTGGTGATACAATTTCAGCTTCTCAACAGTACAGAAATATCCACTAGTTTTCTCATCAAGTTTCACCTGGTCACATCAGAGAGATACATCAAGATGTCCTGAGTTCCTGGGTTCAATTCCTGGGGTGCTGTCTGGGTGGAGTTTGTATGTTCCCCCCCGTGTTCAGGTGTGTTTCCTCCCAGAGTCCAGGCACATGCTGGTGGTTTAATTTGCTTGAGGGAGAAACAGATCCCGGTGTGAGTGTGTGTCTGTGTGTCGGTGTGTGTGCCTGCGAGGGCCTGGCGTCCTCCCCAGGGCGTACCCTGCCTTGAGCCAGGGGAGAGCTCCAGTGTCCCCCACGCCCGGACTGGATAAAGAGGTCAGACAATGAATGGATGAGCTCTGGCCAGAGCAGTGTGGTGGAACACCTGACTGTCCTGTACAATAAGAGCCTGGGCAGAGTCCAGGGCAGCACACAGAGTGAATGAATGGTCATGCACAGGCTCACTGCCTGCCCTGGAACACAGTAAGGACATGTGGGGAGCTCATGCAGCTCATGGTCCATTATAACCATACTGTATACTCAGGTGTGGAACGTACTGCAGATAAAGACCTATCTGCTTCAATACTGGCCAGAAAGAAACTTAACTCTTGAAAAAGTGTTTTTTTTTTGTTAAATACTGACCTTAGGACAGCCAGTAGAAGAGACAGCAGTCTCTCTTCTTGCAAAGGCAACAGGTTCTCCGAGTTTTGTTTAACTCAGGTCCTTTTATTAGACCTTAACTAATCTAATTATTTGATTACACGGAATGATTTAATAATTCCATCTGTAGTTGAGGTGTTTAACAATGGCTGTACGTCGAATTAAGCAATACATAACCTATAAGACCCAGTTGAACGCTGGTCCATTACACAACTGTAACACTGGAATCAATAGTGGATCTCTGTGAACGCACTTCTTTTGGAGATGTATTTTATTTGGGTTATAAACATGTAGTTTGGCTTGTAAACATGTTCAACAGACTTAAGCCAGTTTAGGGCCCCTTCAGACTGAATGTGGCTTTCACAATGACAATTGTATTGCATCTGCCAAGTGAAGTGAGTACTTTAGTTGGAACCAAAGCAGCATCTGCGATTCATACTCCCGGTGTACTGTCAAGACGTAAAAATACTGACTTCCTCCTGTGGCACAAACAAAATAACCTTTCCTTTATTTTGCAGGCCTATATAGAAAGCTCTGAATAAAGTCACCCTGGAGAACTCATAACACAAAGTGCAAAAAAATATCACCAAAAAGCAAATTAAGATCAGACGGAGATTGCCGTAATAGCGAGTGTGGTATAGGGAAAAGGAGAATTTACCAAAGTCAAGGGCAACAAGAACACAGCAAGTTTTCTATCATGAAAAGGCTCGAGTTGAAGGGGGGAAAAGGGAACAGGGTGAGCAATGTTAATAACTGCAATGCATTATTGGCACCCTAATGAGACCAGAGTAGCTCGTTTTAGGTAAGGAACTATGAACATACTGTATAGAGAAATAGAGTAAGTGAGTAATAGAGACTGCAAATAAATTTCCTGTACCTGCTGCATCAGAAGAGCAACTCTGCTAAAACTATTTGCACATCAAGGCTCTTTTTTATTTCCCACAGACACTTCTAGCACTGATCCTAAGTGACAGTAGTGAACTGCTAATGATGGTTTATTACATGTCATGTTTGCATAATAAGGGATGCCAGGAGTTAAGGCAGCTCAGGTCTGATGCTTTAGCAGAGCTGTGCCATGCCGTCTTGATGAGAGGCAGAAAAATCATTCATATCTCATAGTCTGGAACAGTCTCTGCTATTTATAACACGGGTATTTTATCAGAGCTCGATTTTTGTTTAACACTAGTTAATCAAAATATTTTGAGCAGACAGCTATAACCAGGCCAACCCTACAGAATAAGGTCCCATGTTATGGGCACAAGGATCTGGAGAAGGGGCAAAGTCCTGTTCTTTATTCCATCTATCCTTCCATCCTGTAACCGGAGGGAGCTGGAGCCTATCTGGCCAACCAGCAGGTGGAAGGCAGGGTACAATCTGGATGGGACGCCAGCCCATTGCAGGGCACACACAGACACAAACACACACACTCACATCAGGACCAATTCCTCCCTGGAGCCAATTAACCTACCGGCATGTCTTTCGACAGTGGGGGGGGGGAACTGGAGCATCAGGAGGAAACTCACACAAACGGAGAGAGAACAAACAAGTTGCACTAGATAGCGCCCCAGGTCCAGAACTGAACCCCGGGCCCCAGTGCTGCGAGGCAGCAATGCTGAGCACTGTGCTGCCGGGCAAACCCTTGGTCTTTATTTTTTAGTGAAAGGAAAACACACAGGAAGACTTTAGAGCATCGTGAATACAAGACAGATTTGAATTTGTGCTACACAGGTAAGTCCATGGTCTATTAGAGTTTGGTTGCAGAGTCATTTGAGAATATCACCTGGGAATAAAGGCATTTGTTTTCTGTAAAAAGGCACACAGGCCTTAAACAGAAACAAATAATTACTCAGGCCTCTTTCTGAAAAAAATGTTTAGCAATCTGCAAGGGTCTGAGCACAGGCCATCGGCGACGTGCTTCCTGACTCACTCACCACGACAGACTTTAACCTCACAAGCTAACCGGTCAGCAAATGTACAGAGAAGATGCCACAGTGTTCCTCACCAGGTTTGATGGCAGCCATGACCGCGCGCGATGACTTCAGCACTGCCTCATATATGGCCCGCTGGTCAGCGGTAAACTTGCCGTTAGCCGGGAAGGAGCAGGTGATGTCAGAGGAGTAGCAGTAATACTCTCCACCCATGTCAAACAGGCTGCAAGGAAAGCAGAAGACGAGCCTTAATTGCAACACTGCTACCTTGTCTCTACAAGCAGATGCTCAACTGACACAGTGCTAAACATTTATCCTTGTACTGCAGCTTCAGCTCTGCATTTGTCCTTCTCTCACTTGTTTTACTTACTTATCACAAGGTTTTAGCAACAAGAAACTAATCCTACTGTTGCCGTAGTGGGTGGAACATTCCTGTCGTTATTAAGTACGGCATTTTACATGCTTTTCTAAAAGGCAATACGTTTGACTCCTGAATCTGAGGTGGAAAAAAGTAAATTTTGTGGTGACAAAACCTTGTATATTGTATATATCTGCTGCACAGCTGGATGTTGAAGAAGCTAGGGGTTTCTCTGTTGTGTCAAGCTTTTATCAGAATATATGAAGGGTTTTGAATCCAGCATGTATTTGACTCCCTGTACCAGTGATTTTTTTTTTACATATGAACATTCTCATAGGTCAGAAAATCATTGCTGTTACATAAGGATAAAATTAACTTGCCTTTCTCTATCAGTTAAGAGGCAGAGTGTACAGACAATAAACTGCGATGTTTCCCTCAAAATGTAAAAAAAAACTGTCATGCTTTCCAAGGACACAAATGTCTCACAACTGCAGTAAAATCTGGATTAGCTCCCTATTTAATAGCAGTTTTTGAGTTATCTGGATGGGACAAACAGAAAGTATGCAATGAAAACGTATCATAAAGAATACGTGCTGAATCAAAACACTAGAAATATAAAAACCCTGTATGTTCATGATCTAACAACATCGAAATGCCTTAAGGCCTAAAACAGTTATTGACCCTCATCAATTGCCTTTTAAAAGGCACACGCTGCTGAGCAGATAAAAATCATATTATGCACTCCAGTGGCTTCTCAAGGCATGTGTGTCTCTGGAACATTCAGCGGCTGAGTACTTTTTAAAGATACGTGTCGATCTCAAAGCCAGTTCCCAGAAAAGTCTGACAAGTCTGTGCAACTGGATCAGGCAAAGAGAGGCCAAATAGCTGCAAATGAAAGCATCAAGGAGGTTCCAGTCATGCAATGCGGAACCCAAGCATGTTGCATGTGCATGTGTAGCGTCACTGTCCTCACTAATTACAGCCAGCCTTAAAATGCATCAACAACCAAGAAGAGGGTGGTGGAAGGTTCAAACACAGTCCAATGAGTTTCGTTTCAACCTCTCAGCCTCTCAGCTCCACAGGCATCATGCATCATTTTAAATATGCCCCTAGATAACCATAACTTTTCTAAATGAGTTACTCTTATCTGTCTGACAGTCTTTTCTTGCCTGAATACTGAACACAGTCATTGTGAAATCAGAGGCCCCGATAACTTATGTTGCCTTGAACATAACCTTAACAGAACTGCTGCCTATCTTCGGTCATTTGTGCAGGAGACATTGCTTCTTGGTTGCATCAAAACCAGAGGTCTGCACTTCAGCTGGCTTGCAGGCTTTGAGGGGGTCAGCGAGTGCATCTCCTATGCAAACAGACACTCAACAGAACTGGGGGGCTGACATCACAATGTAAAGCTGCTCAGCCAAGGGAGTGAGGCCAAAGTCCAGCCCCAGCAGGGTATATGCCCAACGGAGATGGGCTATGATTCACAAGCAAAGGGCCTTAAACTCTGCTGCTAAATATAGCCTTTGAATAACTTCAATTACTGCAAAATGGTCTAGCTGATAAAGACGTGTTTATTTAATACACATTTCAAACAGAACTTAGGCTAATGTAGGATAAAGGTCAGAGCAGAGCTGTAGATCCCTCAGAGCACAGGCAGCTTTCAGGCTTGCTTCCATAGTAATCAGGAGAAGAAACTTCTACAGCATTTCTTTCCACAGCAACCGGGGAACCGTATGAAAACAATCGTGCATACGTTTAGATATAGATGTCTAGATAAATACACGAACTTTCTTTATAAGACTACCTGATTACACGTTAATGCTCTTAAGGTCTGTTTATGTGCTTTATGCAATCCAATAGGCTAGTGACGATCAAATACAAAATGTCAGAAAAGGGAATCACCTGCGTTCTTTTAAAGCTCAGTCCTTTAATGACTAACCACAAATTCCAGCCACCCCCTTTTATGAGGTGATGTTATGCTATCTTCTCTCTGCTTTAAGATGACACTGCGCACTTCTGCTGATCAAGACCGAGTCATTAGGGTTGTGCAGAAGAGCAAATTAGACAAAATTCTGAGTGTCAGATGATCTGTAGCAGCAGAAAGGGCTGCAGGGAGTGAAGCTGGCTGCAGGAGCAGTATAATTTGCAGGACCTGACTTGTGCTCATACATGGATACAGTTGTAATATTGCGCGAAGCTACTTGAAACAGTAATCATTATAAATGCAGTCTTTAATATATAATTCATCAATTGAACTTTTTTATTTAATGATGATAGAGCTTTTATGATTAAAGTAATATGATTCATTGATTTTGCAGAATGTAGTGTTGGAATTTGTCCAGCAAGGAGCTTTCAGTGTTCTTATGCAATGAAACTCTAGCCTCAGCTCCAGTCCAGTATGTGCTCTGCTTTCTATCAGACTCTGTAAAACATGTTTTTTTGCAACGGCTGATCAGACCATGATGATCAAGAAAAAAACGGTAGTATTTGCCAAGTTCAAACAGCAGCATAATGTGCATCAAAATTGAAGAGTAAAATCGTGTTCTAAACCTTATTTGTAATAAAAAACACCTGCCAATCTTTTATTTTTGAATCAAAATAACTTATGGCATGTAACACCTCTGCATACATGCATCTCTATCAATCTGTTTAGAGTTTTTACAAAAGCAAAACAAAAAATTTAAATATTACATAAAGGTTTTAGAAGTTTGAAAATTCTGCTTGGAACAATGCTTGCTGCATTCAGCTTCTTCTATGAAAGTCTCAAAAACAGGCATAGAAAAAAGTTTCAAATCATGATGAAGATGGAGAAAAACAAATGAAAAAATCCACATCTACAGTAGTTTATTTAAGATCAGAATGTGTTTATATTTCCACTGCAAACTCTTAACTTCAAAAAGGATAGCATCTGTTTATGTTAGATTTCTGGTAACTTGTTATCCATTATCATCTGAATTATGCTCTTATAGATATCAAAGTCATGCCATTTTATTGTAATATTAAATTACAAGTTACTATTCTTATAATAAAACATTTTTATAAAGTGATAGTAAAATCTTAACAAATAAGGCTAAAACTAAAGTTTTTCTGGGCTGTTTGCTGAGAGACAGACAATGCTTATCAAGTTTTCTGGGACTGGACAAAATGCAGATTAAATCGAGATTCTCTGAAATTGAGGTACTGGGCTAGATCAAGAATATCTGAAAAGACAAAGAGTGATTGAGAAGCAAAGAATGAATACAAACTGAAGGAAGTGCATTTCTTTTTAAAAGTGCTGCCCACATTTAATCTCACTTCAGTGACATAATGATTTACTTACATTAATCAGCCAATATCACAGTCAGCAAACACTGAAGGACCAGTACAGCTGCTGACTAAACTGGGTGAAGAGTCACCAGCCTGCCATGTGGAGTGTCAAAGGGAGAGGCTGTGTGTCCTGGTCCTCGAGGAGTTAATACTGTACCCTGACTCAGTGTCACATGGGTCACTCCTTAGCTCCAACCTCACATGATCTGGAGACCAGATGCACTTTGAACTGAACAGCTGGTATAAGTTCACGATGTCGAACAAAAGTGGGCATTCCTTAGTAATTTGTTATCCTGGGTTGTGTACAAACATCCCATTTGATTAAGTGGTTTATTATGTAGTGGGCATTAATTGGTGGCATATATATCATATCAGATATCATGAATGGCAGTTCAACGACAGATTCTATCCAGGCACAGAATTACTCCTTCTTTGATTCCTTGCTGGTCACACGGTGCACCTTATTTTTCACTGACTCCAGGACATCTTTACAAGAAAGCTGAGCAACGCAAGACACGTGAGACACAAAATCAACAAACAACTTCAAGTAGCACTGTGAATGTTAATCCCAACCACAGCGCTACAAACTGTTTTTTTTAATATTCCCTTTGTGGAGTTCCTAGTGAGGTTTGTGCTGAATTTGCGTTTTTATCATCCTTATCACAATCCTCGCTACAGAATGGGTCACAGATCTCTCCTACAGTAATACTGCACCACTAAGTCTTACTTAGCTAGAACTGAAAAAGCCCTCTTATATTTTTTCCATTTTGATAGTTACTGAGCCTTGCCAGCTACTGTATAAACTACACTCTAAACCCCTACAAATTTCTGGATGAGAGGACATCACTCAGTTTACACTGAGTGAGTCAGTTTACACTGAGTGAGTCAGTTTACATGAGTACTGAATACCAAAGGTGATAAAGAATGAAACAAAAGTTGAAGTAAAATACACAGCAGTTGACGGAACTGATTTGTAAATCTATATCAGTTTATTACCATTTACTCAGTAGTTGCTGTTTGAAATACAGCTGAACCAAGACCTCTTGCAAAGTAAAAAGCACAAAAATAGTGCTTGAACCTTGCAAACCCTAGTTCGGCAGGGAGATTCATTTTTGTGAAGGGTAAATTATTGACTAGGTGCTGCACACAATCGTATTCTGGAAGAAAAGATAAAACTTAGTTTTAGTAAAACCAACACTTTCATGTGGAGTTAGAAGACATCTTCCCCGATGACTGTATTTCATTCTGAAAGTATAGTAACTCCTGGAAATAACTGTGAATAATCACTTTAGAAGAAACCAAGACTCCTTGTAAATGTGTTTTTCTTTATAGTATCAAAATTAAATCTATACCTAACAGCAATTCAGAAATCTTCAATGCTATTGCCTCTTTTTATCTCTTAGTCATAAAACATGATTGACCACAACCCATCCCTACAGCCCCATTTCAAGCAGTTCTATCTGATATTTTACTGCAACCTGTCCAACACCCTCTTTAACAGACCTTGATCAAACAGATCTGATACATTTATCTTAAGTTAGGTGATCGTTTAAAACCATATTCAAGCCAGTTTCACATTATAGCAAAACAAATATTTTAGAAAAAAAATAGGTTGTTAATAATAAAATACAAGCCTGGGTTTATTGAAAATTAGAGAATTCATATCTCAGTGTCCAGTTAGCAAAAGTCTGGCCAGTGTCTTTTAAGACTTTAATTACTTATGTGGCAACATGGAAGATTTTCAGTTGTCTTAAAGACTATTCAACCTGTTTTATCCAAAACATTGGGAAAGACCTTCTTCTGGTTAATTCAGATTAAGCGATTACAATAAGAAGTTCCTTTGGGTCCTGTCAGTGATTCATGGCTCTTAATCCATTGAGCAGTATTGCAGGTGTTTTTGGAGAATTCTTTTTAGACAATTTAAGCCAGCAAAAGTTTTTCTTGGTGGGGAAACATCTTGCCAAACTGTCAAGTAATTCTCAGTTTTGTCAAACTCTTCTACAGTGATAGGTTGACAAAATAAAGCATTTGGGGAACAAACAGATTTTACAAAATAAAGGATGTGGGGAACAGGCTTTTTTATTTAAACCATAACTATTAAATGTTCTACTCCAGTCAGTCTTTAAGGAGAATCTGCACCTCTGTATCTGCTTTTCAGTGCAACAGTGCCACCATGTGGAGAACTAACATTACAGCCTGCATTGGGAGTCCATTCATAACTCTGCGCACATGCACACACAGTGTTACTAAAAGGCCATGAGCACAGCTGGTCCGTTCCAGGCTACAAAACAATCTGGAATTACTTTTTAATAAAGCTGAAACACTAAAGTCAATTAGAGGAGCCATGTCTACACACCGAGCATATATGTCAAACACATTAATTTGCCAATTAAACTTCACTGCAAAGCCTCAAGGATGTTGCATGGTTTGTTAAGTCTTCCCAACAGCAACAGTTTAAGCCCCGTCCATAAGCAATGGGAAGCATTGATATTATGGACTGTGTGGAGAGCTTGGGCCTGTCACAAACACTCGGGACTCACAAAATCTTTCAAGAGGGATAGAACAAAGCAAAAAGTACAGCCCTGAGAAAATAACAAGGAACATTTCAAACACGGACTATGGAAAGGTACAATCTCTTGCGAGATATTTGCAGCTATTCGATTATCGTACAATTCCCAAGCTGTGGTCAATTTTGTGAAACCTTGAAGTGGGTGGATACTACAGAAACTAAACCCAGTGCATTTCCAAGAAAAGAGATTTATAAAACCAGCACTTTATCACGTCATCCACATATGGGTGGGTATGTGTGTCTTTAGTGAGTAATTCAAGGGCTTGGCCAAGTGTTCTGACATGTTCTTGTCATTCACGAATGACGTGAAACCAAGGGCTGCAGACACATTGTTATGCTTATGACTAATAGGTAACAGAGGTTTCATTTTTACTGTAAAACATCTATGCATGAGTAATAACAGATGCAGGAGCACTATATAAAATATACCCTATTGTACAAAAGTCTGACCTGAGCTTCCATTTCTGCAAATTACTGCAATCCAACCCAAAAAAAAAAATCGTGATTCACTTTCAAAGGGGCAACACATACATCAATAAAAGCATTTCTGAAACTTTGAGCACTTTTCCCAAAAAGGTGTATAAATATTCAGAACATCTGTCAAAGCATGTTACAGTGCGTCTCGGGGAATACTGTGGGTATCGTTAGGTTCACATGTTCAAGTGGCTATCTCTGTCAGCGTGCACTGGCTGCAGAGAAACACTGTTAATGTTAATTCCTCACTGAAAAACAAAAGAGGAACCTGAAGGCGGCTCCACAGCCAAAACATTGTATTTCTTTTTTCTATTTCTCAATGCGAAATTTATCTTTACTTCAAAAGTGAAGAAGGCCCTAACAGCAGAAGTGCTGTATTTCTCTTTTCCATTTTACTGCATGGAATACATTTGTACTTGTTCCTTAGTCAGGTTTAGGATTAGTGTTGAAATTAAATTACCAGTGATGTGTTCTGGGCGAATAGAAATAAATGATTAGAAATATCACAATAACATCTTATGTAGCCTCTAAGAAGACATTATGGTGGCTGTATGAGACAAAATTCTACAGTATATACAGTGTTACCAAACAACAATGTTATGCTTCTTTCAAAATAATATTGGAATAACTGAGCCAAACAAGATGTACAGTTATACTGCATCCCAGCAAGGCAGTTTCAATTTCAGTATTTCCCCATCTTATTGACATCACACATATTTCTTTATTTCAGTCCTACAAAGATGTTATCCTCAAGTTGAAAGTTCTAAAAGCCAGAAAGAGTTCACTTTCAACGACAGGGTCGAAAACAGAAAGACTCCACACTTTCTCCTTTTCCAAAATCTGTCACAGCAGCTCCACCAGACTGACAGGAGCAGTCCTGCTCTTTCTCATGCAGCTCTTCTGAACACTGACAAACAGAGCCCAAGAGCTCTCCTCTCTGCTCTTGACCTGCAACAGCCATCCCTGTCTGGAAAAACGGCCTTTAAAATGTTTTACAATGATACAACTGACAGCTTGCACTGTGCAAAATTCATAGTTCTTAACATCTACAATAAGCCCGAACAACGCAAGCAGTGACCTCATAACCCAAAACATTTTACTCCAAAACTGGGAATGATGACTAATCACCAATCAAACCAAAGGTTAAATTAAAATGTACTAACTTGTTTCAATTCCAAATGTATGCAAAGACATTCTATTTTTTTTTTAATCACTAGGGGGAAGGTTAATGAATCTTGTAAAAGACAAGCATATTTGATATTCAGGAACTGGAATTAGCACTCTGACCTGCTTTTATTTGCTACATGATTATTATGAAAGACTTCAGCTTAATGTCTGATTCATACGTTTTGAAAACCCAGTGCAGACGTTTTGAGATTTTTCATAGCTGGTGGCACATTACTGCTTTTCCTTCAAGCGTCGAGCACAGACAACTCTGAAGGCAGTTGTTCTATTATAATGCAGAGTCAGGATTGCTGCTATTTTCATCAGAATTCATATCTTCTTTAGAACTTCTTTTTTTTATCCATTCATACATCCATTTTCTACCAGTTTCATCCAATTCAGGGTCACAGGGGAGACAAGAGGGTTTTTGTTTTTAAAGTGTACAACTTTAAATTTAAAAGTATTTTCTACAATTTATTGTAATGCAATTCCATTTTTTTAAGTCATTCCTGCAGTCACAGCACCAGCAAAAAAGTAAAAATGATCAACTTGCACAGGACTGACAAAGTGACTCATGCTTTTCAACTCACATGCCCAGGTCATGTAAATGCTTGTGATGATGCCTTGTTATTTATAACGTACCTGTGTTGTCAGACTTGTTTAGCCTGCTACAGTACTCAGATATTTTACTTTTTGCTTCTTTCTTCAAAACTCTAAGTCGACATACTATGTTATCATAATATATTTGGTAGGTTTTATTGAATTATATGTGTTTACATAATTGATTGCAATCACTGTTATTAAAAGGCTTTGGTTTTTAAGTGGACAGTATACTGTATTGCATATTCCATAATAATCACAAAATAGAAGAAAGCTGCAGTACTACATAAATTGCACTAGAGGGAGCCCTTAAGCCAGTTCCTTCCTAAAGCCGATTTTATCATGACCACCAGGTGAGGGATCCAAGCAGTGAGATTTGTTAGATAAGACGATAAGACTCTGCTGAGACTTGCTCACACACTTCTCTTAAACAATGAAAAACCAACCTTTACCTGCTTTAAAAAAACTAACTTTTAATATAGCATCCACTGAGTTGAAACTGACAGCCATAGTGGTAACTTAATCAAGTCTATAGTTAAACTGATGCAGATTCATTAATGTAGAAACACAGGCTAGACTTGTATGAACTATAAAACAGAAGAGTTTCACTCTTCAAGGCCATAATGACTAATTTTTCTATTGGATTTTCATTGCAGCAAAACAGAACTAAGAACAAAATCTCTCCTATTGTCTCCTATTCCTCATAACAATCACCCCATCCTTATACAGAGACTTACCATATATCTCCATCTTCAATTGTCTTGTCATTGGGAGCACCAGCATGGCCATAATGAAGGATGGAAGAGTTGTGGCCACTGAAAAAAACATTTTCATTCTATCAATAATTACTAAAAGGCAATGGTACTGTAGGTACATTCATTCTCTACACAGGTTTCATTTTCTTATTCTATACACAATCTCTTAGGTAAACTAATAATTATAAGACTCAATTAGATAGAATAATAAATATTAAGAAGAGAAAGCAATACAATCCTTTGGGGACAAGTAGTTAACTGATCCCATGATCTCAGCCACCTATTTCTTGAAATAAGGCAGGGGATCAGCTTCAACAACACGGCTGGGTAGCTCGTTCCATGCACCCGCAAATCATTGTGTAAAAAACATGGCTACTTTTCGTGGTTTCAGCTATTAAAAATAAAACAAGAAATTTTATTTTCCACTCCCCAGTGCACATTTCTTTCTGATTGCTTTTCCCACTTGTGTGCTCCCGATGGCTTTTCACTGTTGATTAGAAAGAAGTCCACTGTGGTGACTTAGCGCCTTACAGGATGTTACAGTGCCCTCTAGTGCAGAAACAAGGGCACTCAAAAGAATTGTGGTATGCATGATGTAACACTTTAATTGGCTGGATTTAGTAAACCGTGTTTCGGTGTCTTTCACGGCACTGCTCTCACTGCCAAAGGAAACAAGTGACGCTGTATTCTGCCGATACAGCTGCCCATTCCTATGTCTTGCTCGACGAGTCACAGCCTCTGTCTTTTCTCAAAGTGCTTTTTTGTTTTGAAGCTCCACGTCACGGGTAGAAGCCGACAGTCCGGCCAGCCCCTGGAACTTTGAGTGCTGGTCGAACTAGCTCTGTGTTTCGAGCCCTCACATCTGGAGCCCACAGCAACCCGATCTGCCGCTCAGCGTTGTGCAGAACAGAGACACGAGCCCAGGCCCAGGCTCCCTAACTTCGACTGCTTTTTCGCTGCGCCAGACAAACTCCCTGGAGCTCAGTCAGCAGATCTCCACCAGTCCATAAGACATGAGAGCATTAGGTGTGGGGAATTTGATTTCAATGATGGCAGAGTGCAGAAACATGACAGAAGCTTCAATGGAAAGCATGCAATGCGGGACGTAGAGTCAGCATACAGTATATCACTCAGGGATAACGAAGTCTTACCTTCCACAGATGCAGGTATAGGAGGTGTGGCGCATCCCTCCACGAGAGTAGCAGTAATGCTGGAACAGACTGCAATGAAAATCACACCAGAGGGACGTTTTTACTCAGAAAGCCAGAGTATTGCCAATAAAAGTGTCCAGCAGTTTTACAGCATACCAGACAGGGCAATTCTCAGGTCAAAATCCAGTTATTTGATGTATACATAATTGATTGTACATTCCATGCTGCCTACGGAGCATCTGTACCGTAGTGTGGATGCATGCAAAATCCCCCAAGCATCTGTATCAGATCTCTTCCAGAAAGCCATGAGTTGCACTGTACTCAGAGAGCTGGTTATTTCAATACAGAGTGTAAAAGCCAATGGCCTGTCTTCTGTAGGCATGAGTGTACAGAAGTCCTTGCAATACTTAAAATTCAAAAATTTTTTTTGCGAGCAAACAAGGGTTTAACTGGTCAGAGATTAAAATAACTATTAAAATGGCAGGAGACTGAATGCTTAAAAAATCCAATTTCTCCACAAAAAAAAAAATCATAACCAGCACAAAGGAAACAGTACATTCAAGATTTGTAACATAACTCTTATTTATTAGCATCACCACACATTTCAAGAAGAAACGTCAGTCTCAGTTGTCTTACTGAAGCAAACGCAACTTTGTTGCTGAAGACGAAAATGTATTTCTGTCAGGCACATTTCTCTCCATTCCTAACCAAAGCAGACGCATAGAGAACTGCAGCTGAAAACTAAGAATTATTTGCACTGTGCTCTTTAAAATGATGAGTATGCCACATTACTGGGACTCATTGGGAATGTATTAAACAAATTGGGTGTATTTAATAAATGTGGGTTCTGGGCTGCAGCGCTCCGCAGGTAAAAGGCTACTCTTATTAAAAAGAACCACAAGAACATTTTAATTATTCCCTTGCACTTCCTGGGAGATTCATGTCACCATATCTTTCAGTGTTCACCATGAGTGACTCCCTTTGGCTCCCTTTTGGTTCAGAGGCAGGCACAGGGGATTCTGGGGTGATATTTACAGAGGGCAGGTCTGTCGTCAATCAATAATAACCATTTCAGCAAACCAGCCCCTTCACTGCCTCTGAAGGTCCACTGGAGAATTACTCACGGAGTTCAGCTAGCACGCCTGAGGAGGTGAACTGCCCAAAGAAAAAGGCACATAATACTGTACTGCAAATTCTATTGCGTTTTGAACCACAGAAAGTTTTTGGTACTGCAATTAAGGACAAAGACCTTCAAATTCTTATCCTTGGGTATGTCACAAAATCATTACAGATCTGTGAGCTCTCTAAGCTTAAAATCGAGTCAATAACAAGTTTCACTAATGACTAAACTGAGGCTCCAAGGGCAAGAGACTCACGTTCTTCATCACTTTCCATCTTTGACCACTGTACATTTAAGGTTTTCGACATATTAATACTGCATATAAAACAACCGGTACGTATTCATGTCTATTGCCAGTTTCCGGACTGGACTTCTATTAGAGCCGAGGAAGAATTCATCAAATTTCAGGTGGAAATGGAGGTCAACAGCAATTCTCTGTATTCAGCAGGAAATGTGAAAGAGGCGATGAAGACACAGGGCTCAGGAAGATTATTTCCTTCACTCTACAGTTTAATAAAAACAGATGCAGCAAAGAATCCAGATGACGGCAGCAGATGAGTTTGTTGAGCGAGCCAGTAGAGGTACAGGTCCCAGCCCCCAAGGAAGAGGGGAGAGATAATCCAATCCACACGGAGACCTTGGTTAAGATTACTTATACTTTTCAGCCACTTAGATGAAGGCCTGAAATAAAGTGCAGTATGTCTTATTTTATGCACAACACCACAAGCAAGTATTTAAAACCTACTCGTGCATCATGGTGGGTCACGGGAACTTTAGGAGGCAAAAACATCCTGCCCCTGTGTTTTAACTGCTGATGTGAGCTGGCTGTTCGCGATCACTCCATGAAAGAAACAGCAGGGTATTGCACTGATCAAGGTATTAGACTCAGGGTCATTTTGATTCAGACCCAGATCCGCTATTTACAATGAAACCAACATTTAAACAGAATAAAGCTTCAAAAAAGAGCATACCGAATGGATAGTACTTTTAATCTCTGGATCTGGAATCATACAGGGAAAATCACTGCAGACGTCTGCATGATAATGACCACACCAAAATTACTTCAAATACTGTCAGTCTAGATTCATTCACACAGAGACATGGTGCTCTGTCATAGAAGCAGACTGTTGGTTTCCAATATCACGATCTAAATTATTTCCAATTACACTCTTACTCCTTCAATCCCCTGCTCCAATTGTTTCAGATTCAATTTGTTCCCTTGTTATAATTTACATTAAGTATTTCCAGTCTTGCACTGCCTAAAATATGAATCAGGTTAGGGTCCACTGGGCAATACGATATAATCATTCCACCTTATATTACAAACCTAGTACAGATACAGTATCTCGACACTACATTGCATCGCTAGTTAGCTAGTTTCCTACTTCCCCCAGCTGATGTGTGGAAATCAGCTAAATAAGTCCATTTACAACATGAAGGGCTTGCAAAAAGATCGAATTACACTAATTATGTTATTTTTTTAGCACCAAACCAAACTTGTCAGGAATAAGTAGCTTTCTGATCATGGACCATCGTGCCAATGTTAAGTGGAGTGAACACGTCCGGAGAATAAGGCAAAACCATGCTTCCAAAAGTCCATGCTGTCTTACACATGTGGGAGTTCTGAACATTTTGTGTAGCCACTTTCAGAAAAATATGGACCTGATGTTTCAAGCTGCTGCTAAATCAGTAAGTAACTGACTGCAATGATAATACTTTTATGAATTGCTTTTGGTTTTCTGGGTTATTACCAGCTCTGGTTAGCTTCAAAACTGTTACAATTACACAACATAATAACAATAATATAACACCACCAATGCCATGACTTTATACTTATATTGTTCTGTTTGGAAAGGTTTAACACTAGAATCGCTAAAGTACATTAAGATTAACAGGAAAATTGAGACTTGTTAAGGACAAAATCAAAAAGTGTAGCAATAAGTTCTACAACAATCAGATGTCAATATTACTTCATTACTTCAGGGCAGTGTTTCCAAATTCTGGTGTTGTGGTACCCCTGTGTCATCTGGTATTCATTTCAACTAAACTCTTAATCAATCAAGTTTATTGAACCCTTAATTGAACCAACCGATTGATTTTTAACCGTTTTCTGCACAGAAGACTTCATCTCACAAATTACCTCCTTAATGTGTGTTGTTTCCAAGCAATATAGTTAGCAGAGCTCTGTTTCAACGTGTTTTAAAACTGTTACTCCCCTTTATCGAGCTAAACAGCTCTCATTGTTTATTAATTACACTGTCAAACACTCACATCATAACCACTCTCACTGCTCTTACTAAGTAGAGCTCAGCGCATGGTTAAACTCAATCAGGTCTAGAGCAAAGAGCTGAAAATCAGCATCTAGCACAGGTTTCATGCTAATTTCTAATCTCATTTGCTTATTTAAGAACTGAAATTGTTTTAACTATACACACAAAACAATTCAAGTTAATGAACTATAATAATAAAGATTATTTGAAGTGAATTCCAGAAAACACAGGTGTACTCCAGAACCAGGACTGGGAAATAACTGCTTCAAGGTGTCCCACAAGGTTCAGTCCTGTACTGTACTCTTTTTTCCATCTATTTACTGTATATAAATACAATTTCTCAGGATTAGGCATCTCTCTTACCGGCCCCTAAGCCAACAGCACCATGTCGTACTCAACCAGACCCACTTGATCTTCTGCAATGGCCAATTACTGTATAGTTTTCTTTTAAATGTGTTTTTGGTGAACTGTATCACCAATAAATTAAGATAAAATTAAAGTTGTGGATTTAATTAAAATTAACTGCTCTCTTAATAATCAGTTTTTAAATTAAACCTAACTGGACGTAGTTTCTAAATATCAAGGCACCAAGGTCAATGGCCTTTAATTTTTAAAAACTGTTGCTAATATGCGCCCTAAAAGCAAGTCTACACTTGGTTTACCTCATTACAACAGATCTTATTTTACATGATCTCAGCAACACACCGGTTGACTTGTCCACACTTCTCCTGAACTATGGTGATCTTTTTACAGACTGGGTGGGAAACTCATCATTGTGACCATTATTCTTCGATTGATCGTCTCCCTGTGCAAACTACCTTACATCATCAACATGGAAACACTTTCCAATCTCATTTTAATGCACTTCTCTGTAACCATCCTGCTGTACAGTTTAAGATGAAGCACTAAAATCTGAACTTGCCAAAAGCAACTCCAACCAACTCCGATGGCAAGTCATTTCAATTTGCCACTGCCAGTGACTGGAACAGTGAGCTGAAACTGTCTGTCTTCATCTCTGAGGGTGTTCTCAGCTGTGTGATTCAATCTCTTCTACTCGATGCCCACACTTGTTAACACAGCCCTGGCCAGCTGTATTTCACTGTGTGCTCTTCCCTGTCTGTCACTGCTTTCTCCAATGTGTGGCTGTAAGTCACTCTCGGCCAGGTCAGCGCTGTACACAAGAATTTGCTCTAAACTGACTGATGGACTAAATAATGGATGACAATGATGATGATGATTTCAAAGAGCCGATATCTGCACTCACTACACTAGCCCTGTTTTTTTTTAACATCAAAAGCAAAACTGTTTTTTCATTGACAACTCTTAGTTTTTCATCTTATTAGAGTACCTGATTTCTATTTCCTCTGTGTTGAATTCCACTGTGATTGCAGTCTATTTAATTCAATTTTAAAAGACCATTTCCTCTTGCCAATTAAAAAAAAAAAGAAAGCACCGCAAACAAATGGAAAAACAACAGATCTTATCAAAAGAGTATAGAGCTGCGCGTGAAGGACAAAAAGCTTTTGAAAAGTTTCAAAATCACCATCTGCCAAGTTAGCTCAACAAAACAATTCCATCTACCCTGCTACGAGTCGTTGCCGAGAAAATGCCTCTTACATTCTTTTAATCAACATAAAAAAGACAGATCAAATGGCAGCACATCTTTAAAGACTGTATAA